CAACTGAGGAAGCAGAGGTACGAAAATTTCTTAGCGAATATTTCCCTCGTATGATAATATGTCCGTTTGAAGTGTGCAATTATCGAAAAACTACAGCGGTAATTGCACAGTGTGCAATTATCACTCATCGATAATTGCATTGTTTACGAAAAATATTTGACGGTATCTTTTCATGTTGAATTAGACATCAAATGTCTTCCTGACATACCTAAGATATTCAAATTATATTTAATAAACATAAGTAATAAAATTAAAAGTGTAAGAAAATATAATAGAAATAAAATGAATCCACATTAACTTTGTTTACTCAGGAAATATTCATAAAAATTACACTCGTGCATCAAAATAAACAGATAATTTTGCATTCGAGCTTGTTGTCTTGTAAAAACTGCATTCGTTTATTTTCACATTGGAACGAAAAAGCCCTCCTCCTTCGGAGTCGGGCTTTTTCGCCACAATATGAAAATAAACTCATGCAATTTTTAGACAAGAAGCTTTCATGCAAAATTATCGGTAATTTTGAAGCACTTGTGCAATTGCCCCCGATAATTGATAAAGACACAAATTCTAGTGCTTTTAATTATTTACAGACCAGCTCTTTGGGATTAGACCGTGATCTGAGAAATTTATTAACTAAGGTACGGAACTGAGCCAAAATTATTACTTTTTAAAATTTTGTAGATAGGAGAAACAAGTGAGTCCTAGAATTTGAAATTTGAGCCGTTTTATCTATTTACAGGCCGACATTATTACAGCCGTTTTGAGCCGCTTGAACAAAGTTTACCAGGACAAAGTGTGTGGAGGTTGCTTCCGATATATGTCTTCGCTTCCTATTAGGATGACCATCCGGGGATTTCCTATATGTGGACGATGTCACGATTCTGAAGAATTTAAGGATGTTTCCTCCGCCATTTCAAGGGCCAACTTTTTCGTGACCCAGTAAGTAAAATCGCAAAGAAATGTAATAAGAAGTTGAATTACTGCCTAAATAATATAAAATTTTCAAAATGGGCCATGATTATCTCTCTCATCGGCGCTACAATTCAAATAAACATTAAATAATGTTTATTTGAATTGCCGTTTCCAAACGAATAAGAACTTAAATCGCCTTCTAAAAGACAACGATTGCCGAACGAAAGCACAGAAAAGAATTACTGGCACTTGACAGTATGTATTACTAAACAGCTGCATCTCTTTCAAAGGATTTTTTCGCCATAGTTGGGGTGAATAGGAAATTATTTTATTTGCTAATTTGACAAAGATATAGATATTAATTGTTGAAGATCAAATTGCAGCTTTCCCACTAACGATGATTTTCAAATGATACAACATTTCCTACCTTTTGAGGTATGTAACCCGCTAATCAATTTTGTTTCAGAAACGTATATTTAAATGCCGAAACGTTTCAGTTATCTGCACTATATGTTTCACAAATGTTTATGTAACTGAAAATGTCCGCCCTCTCAAACGATTGGCTGAAATGTATCAAGGAGATGTTACTGAAACGTTGCGCTAAACGTTATTTAAACGTTGCAAATAAATATTTTGTAACATTATACATGTTGTATCTTTGAAGAGTGCACATATTTTAATCGGTGGTACATTTTGGCCCTAGACGCAGAACTATTGGATTATCCTGCTTCGAGGACAAAAATATACCACCAGTTAAAATATTTGTACTCATCAAAGAATCACTTTATAGTTTCACGACTCCATAACGTTTTCATAAAAATATTTACAAAACATTTTAAGCTAACTTGTTTCAAAATGTTTTAGATTCACAAAACAGGTTCGAAAAGTTGATGAATAAAACTCAAATGGCATATGTATATACAATAGATTTCTTATTAAATAAATAAACAAGAACAAACACAAACACACAAAAATAAAAGTACGTTCTTAAAACTCAGTAGTTACTAAGCAAAGAACTCCAGTCTTCTTTGAGTCTTTTAACTTGTCAAATAAAGCGTGGGGGGAAAGTCAAACCGCTTAATTCAAAGAAACCTGAAACTCCGAAACGGCTTGACCACTTTAAAAGTGTTTACTATCAATTGAAAGATCAATAAAACTCTACAATGTGTGATATAAAAGCAATCTTAATCATTTTCGAAATATCCGCTGTTCTAAAAAAAGGCTTTGTTTTAATTTTTCACAAAAATTTCAAATACTACCATCAAGTAATTTTACACGCATTCGAAAGCACATGAAAAAATGAACTAAACCGCAAAAACCGCATCTTAAAATAATTTCTGGAACCGATTTAATACTTGAAAATAATAAAGGTTGCCTAATTAACTTCATTTGCTACTATTTCCATATTTCCGCGAGTTGTAATTGTTATTATTTTTTTATTATTATTGTTAAGTGGCAAGAAAACAGCAATATTTTTTGGGCAAAACCCAACTTTACGTTTATCAGCAATAAAGTGAACGCAGAAAGAAACTTTTGAAATTAAAGTTGTAAATGCACAAACAATGCAACAATGAGGTCTCAAATAATGATATTTAACAACAGAAGAAAGTTTTTTCAGAATATTCTGTATAGTTAGATAGTTTTGATAACATTTATGATACCATTATGAGATAAATAATAGTAACAGTTTTTATTTTAAAAAAAGTAACACTTTGAAAGACTCGATCTATAATCCGAATCATAACAGTTTTATTTTGTATTTCAGCTTTGAATTTTTCTGCATCAATACCCTCGACGGGTGTCTTGTTCAGGATCTAAAGCCGGCAGCTACCACGGACCATGAAGCAAAGTGTAAAGTCCCACAATTGGATTGTGTGTTTTGCTCATTTAAGGGAAATATTTTGCAAATTATCCATCACTCTGTCAGGCAACATCGGATGAATTTATCTCTAGATGGAGTGATAGAATTTAGTCTGAAGGAAAATACTGAAAAGAAAACCACATTAATGGTTATACACGGCGTTGCTTTCGTTCTGAAATGGCAGATCTCTAAAGAAAAAGTAGTACTGAAATTCAAACTGCTGGTAAACCTGCCGTTTACGCAACACTATCGTATACACTTTTCCAGGAAAGGGGACGCTGAACTTCCACTTGAAATGCTCAACGAGTATGGTGTAATAAGCATGAAATGTGATACATGTATTGATATAAGTAAGCCTCAGTTGAAACTTAAATTTGGTGAGGAGGCCATCCTAATGTGTAAAATATCGTTTGAGGAGGTATCAGTTGAAAGGAAAATTGAGGAATGCAAGGAGAGAGAAGCCAAGTGCCAGCCAGATGCGCTAATACAGTCAATTAACGAATCGCAAGTAAACACCGATCTTAAAGCGAGTATAGAGTTATGTAATTCTGTATCAAAGTTGCTAAAAACTTTTGCACATCGACTTCTCAAATGCGTCGTGTGTAAGCAGATAGCTGCAGGAGACTCTACACACTTTTGCCCGGAGCTTCATGGCTGCTGTAATAAATGTTGGACAGGTTATTGCTCTGAATGTTCTGAAGTCAGGCCATATAGAGATATTCCAATGCTCGAGAATTTAGTAGTAGACTGCGATTGGGATGATTGTGCTGAAGAAACAAAGTTCTATAAATATCTCACCCATAAAGCATCGTGTCCTCAAAGGCCTTACAAATGTCCACTCAAAAATTGTAATGAAATTCGCGTTGGTGTACCTGCTCTTACAAATCATTGGCACGTTGAACTCCCCGATGTAGTTGTAGGAAATGTTTATGAGTTCAATAAGCAATTTATTAAAACAGAATATGCCTATTGGATACATCAGGGTGATATATATGTCGTAACGATAAATTTGGAAGAAACTTATCTTGACGTTCTACTTGAAGAAGTTGACGTCATACCAAATTGCAATTTGGACAAGTTGTCTTGTTCGCTTCTACTTGGCGACAAAACTTACGATATTCCTATAGTACGCACTTATTGCAAATGCGAAGGCAAATTTGTTTACAGCGAAAAAATACCAGATTTCAAACCTGAAAATAAACATATGATTGTGGTTATAAATATGAATCCTGAGGTGCCTTATCAACGTTCTCGTGTATCTGTTCCCGTGCAGCGAAAACCCAAGACGTTCATCACAGTCTAAATATACTTGTATTGTAAACTGCTCTCTTTTAAAACTAGTGCATCATTCAATAATATACTTTATATGGGTGCTGTTTCAGCCGAAACTTCTTCCTAATTACATTGCGCTATTCAAATCCATTATGAACTTTCAAAATGCCTATATTTACTACACATAAAATTATTGGAACCTACAGAACCGGTTATTGCGCACGTTATTGTTAGATTAGATAGGATTTATTTATTGTTAGAACCTTTTGTACGCTTTTGCTCAAATTTTATTCGTTTGCAAATGCTAAAGATTCAAACTTGCTATGTAATGAAACTTTATAAAAAACCAAAAATTATTTCTGTATCCATGTTAGTTATCCATCCAAGTTATAAGCAAGTTTAAATGTTCGGATATTTTTTGCATGGCACACTCCATAATAAAATTTCCGCATTGTCACGAAAAAATCTATATAACATCTAGATTAAAGAATGGAAATTTGCATAAAAGCACTGATAATTAGTTAATTGTGTTCTTTCGGTTTATCATATTGATTTGCCAGTGTTAGCCAGAGCACTATATGATTTTAAATGTAATTATGTGTTAATTGTTTATATATAAGTTTAAATGTATTTTCTATATAGTATTATCTTATTAGGTTTTAAAACTAATTTATCAATAATGGAAAAATTGCCTCTTGCCCAAAGATGGCGAATAATATTAATGAAATTGGGGGCATTTTTTCTAAATATTCACGAAATTTTTAATATTATAAGAGATCTGAGTTGCAACATGATTTTTTCATAACATATTTATTTATGTATGATATAATATACTTGGAATTTATATGAAATGGCCTATCATTTCCTTCTCAAGTCAATTTCCCAAGTACAAACATTTTAAAGTTCATCCAAGCGAAGTAAATTTGATTTAAAACGCAAAATTGGAAAAGATACAATTTTGCAATATTAAAAATGTTAAATTACAATTGCTAGAGATTTACTAAGCTTCTTGTTTCTATTTCTCTGCTTTCATTACCTATATCAATAGCAATATTAGTTACACTCGATAAAGACATTAAATGAGAAGCTTGCTCTAAAACTCACTTAAATTGAGGTTAATAAAATGTAGCATTAATTTTCTTATGAAATATTTGTGCATGGCGGAACATGAACCAGAATTTTAAAAAGGACATACTTAAATACCTAAAGGAAATTACTTTTTGAGTGAACATGAACATTCCATGGCAGAAAGTACAGTATACAAATAATTTAAGTTGTCCGATTGAAAAATAGATTTTTAGAACCTTTCAGTATAAAGGAAAATTTAGAAATGTTTGAAAACATAATTTAATTCGAAATAGTCACTTGAGATACAAAAGTATTTGCCAACTAACTAAACTTTAAATATTTGAATTATGCTTCTTAGAGTGCCCTTTTCCTGTAAAATTCAATGACATTTATCTATTTATATTTCTTACTAATGTACTTTATTATATTTGGTATTTATGTGAATCCTTTTAAAATTAATTCCGACAATGGATGGTAGCATCCAGGTCAAAATTGTAGATTACCTCATACAGACAAAATACCTATGAAAAGAGGAGCGCAAAAAGTGACACAATTTCACCTAAACCACCTCCACCTCTTTACCCTCGCTATGGAAGATATATCTTCAAGCTCAAGGGTCTGAACTGGGAAGCAAAAGGGATCAACATCAACGGCCGATATCTTGATCATCTCCGATTCGCGGACGACATTGTCTTAATTAACAATGACACGGAAGAACTCCAAACAGATGTTAGTCGAACTGAAGACATCAGATGGATGGAGACCAACATAGAGAAATTATTTTGCTTTCTCTATGGAGACCAATAGCAAACAGGAGGAGCGTTGGCAGACCACAACGAAGATGGTTCGACGACATCACCGAGAAAGTGGGACAAAAATGGTAACCGGTGGCCAAAACAGAGAAGAGTGACAAAGAAAATGGGAGGCTTACGTCTAGGAGTGGACAGTTAGGGGCTGTTCAAGAAGAAGAAGAAGGAAATTAATTCATTATAAAATATGTGCAAAGATTTGCAAAGAAAATGTGGTGCTCTCGTCAGCCTTAAGACGTTAATTGATTCTGATTTTTCCGATCTTGATCCATACGAAAGTCCAAGCCTCCAAAAAGAAAAGTCCTACTGCCAATCCAGGCTGGGCCTGGGTAACACTGTGTTGAGTTGTGCTATTGAGTTGTTGCCGCTCTCTGAGTTAACAAATTATAACTCATCGGTTAATGGGTCATAAGTCATTTATTAAAGCGGATTAAAGGTTTACGAGCCCCCAGACCGGAATTTTAACATCTAAAAAAAGGTCATCAACATTTTGTATGAGTAACGTTTTACTACTTTGTCCAAAAAACTCAGTTTGCCAGTATTTTACAGTAAAACGTTGAGGAAAACGCGGTTTTTCGGTTTGCAGATAATTTTTTTAGAAATATTGACCTAAAATTGAAGAAAGCCCAGTTTCCAACAATTTTCCAAATAAATAATTTCTATAGATTTGCGCATATTTTGTTCGGGAAAATATTTAAAAAAAAAACAGAAAAAATATTAGGATTTTGTCCAAAATTCGAAGTTGCAAAAAGGTTTTCCAACAATTTTTGCAAAACGGTTAAGGAGAGTGTTGCTTCATTTTCGAATAAAATTTATCGCATAATTTTTCACAGAAGTAAAATTAAAAATAATGCGTTTTTTGCGTAGAAATAATTGCTTAATGAAAACTTTACTAAAACTGGAAAGACCTGAAATTTCAGAAATAGAATAAATCTAAAAGCAACAGAAAAAGGTCATCAACATGTTCCCAGCAACAAACTGAGTTACTGCTCTGGTACGTTGGGTTGGCGCATCAAGCCATTTGCGCAGCACTGCGTCATCTCCTAAAAATTCACTAAATTACCCAGGCCTAATTTTTAATAAAGTTTTTTCATTATCAGGGTGTCGCGTAAAATTGAATATATTTTCAAAGGTGAAAGAGTGAAACTTAAATAGACAATCTCTATAGACGATACTTGCATCTAAACACTCTCAAAAGTTGGTCCAAGTTGCACCAAATCCTGAGGTTTACGCTTTTTGTAAATATCGATATGAAAATGAACGCTTTCAAGAAGCTGCAGAATCTTGGGGAAAATACCCAACTTGAAATAATCTTCTCTCTGAATCTCTATCGAAAGAAATTTGAAATTCTTAGTCCATAGACGAGAGTAGAATCTAAACATCGGCTGAAGTTCATTTAGATTCAAATGTCGGTCTGGAAATGAACTGTGTTATGCAACAGCAGAATCGCAGTAAAAAATGTCTAATTAAGAGCACGTAACAACTTGAAAAGTTGAGAGTCGATAAAAGAAATTTGAACCCAAAAACCTTCAAAAGTTTATTCAAATATGAACAAATCCGGTCTATTTCTGAACGGTTTGTAAATGTTGATCTGAAAATTAAGATATTCAAGCAAGTGCAGGCGTTACAATAAAACATCAGAAAGACTGTATAGACTACACTCGAATCCAAGAATATTTCAAAATTGATTCAAATCCAAGTCCTAATCTTTGGGTGATTTAAAAATGTGGGACTAAAATGAACGTTTTCGCGCAACTGTCGCTAAAAAGTTGTTTCTTTCGTTCAATCAAAGTTATGACTCCGACAAAGAATATTACGAAAAGACATCATTCAACTAGAAGCATGTATACAAAAATTTAAATTAGCACCCTGAAGTGTTTTGGCAATGAAACTAAAAACCAATTTTTTCGACCATTATGCCGATTCTTTATTTAAGGCCCAAATAGAGAAAGCTATAGAAAAAACTCTTGTAAAATCACCTTCCAAACACGTCCGTAAAATATTTGTCATTCTCAGTTCTATGTACCCACGGTACATAGAACTAGAAAAGGACTAATATTGAAAGCACAAGTTTCCAGTTTATCAAAATAGTTTAATAAAACGGTTTCATTGAAAAGTTAGTCCGTTAAAAATTAAATCTAAAAAAATTTTCGTTTTCCTGCTCGATAAACTGAAAATAAGTGGAATTACAAATATTTTGTTTGCATGCTTTTCTTCTTGGCATATTTGACGTTGGGTCTTGTGAATAAATTAACTTTGCGCAAAGCATTTATGTAGCGAGTGTTGGGTGTCAAATATTATTTAGCGATGACTGAGTCTACGGTTAGTTCAAAATTCTGTTTTTTGCATGTTATTTAAACAAATTGTTGTGATTGTAAGTAATATTAGTAGTATTGTCTTCGGTTGGTCTTTTACAAGAATATTGGAAAACATTCCGTCTAATCGATCAAATCCGTTACACTTAGCAACCAAGATAAAAATTTAAATTGTTCTTAATTATTTTAAATATTAAATGAATATTCGTAAAAATTTAAATTTTGCAAAATTTATATGCTTACAATCACACATACGCTTGTATTATTGAGCTCAGTGCATTTATTAAACATATTAATAGTGTTTCTAATAAATTGTTAATTCTAGAGTGATTACCGCACTAAGAGATATGTACCTCGCGACGTTTGGCACAAACTAAAATGCCCAAACTGCAATCGAACCCTATCCGTTGGACCTGTCATGATTTGCTTGATAAGAACCTATATATGCGGAAGATGCACGAAAGCGGTAAAATTTAAAAATGTCAAATTTACTAAAAGTCTGTATAACATTGTTGCTTGTGGGTAAGTTGTTATTTAAACTAAATACATTAGTAACTCAAGGCTATTACGGCCTTTTGAATCGAATAAACATAATGTATTTTTCACAAGTTTCATAGTTACATACACACTAGCTTCCGTTAGTAAAAACAGTGTTTTAACACAACAGAAACACGATTTCAGAACTCATCTTTTTATTAATTAAGTAATTTGAGTATATCAGATGTCAGCATATTGAATTGTCTTATCTTTTTAACTTCCTCAATAGTTTTGATATTTGTATTAATGTTGGCAGAGGGTATCTAGAAAACATATCAGAAATTGGAAATATAGGTAATTCAGAAAATGAAAATAGAATTGAAACAAAAATTAGCCAAATAACGAAGCTGGAACTTACAAAAAAATATAATAAAGTCGCTTAATTGAAGGGGTTAGAAACAAAACCGCCCGAATCACATGAGGTTTATTGAGGGAAATGAATCATCCAAGTTTTCTTACAATGGAAAATTATTAGCTTATAATATAAATTAGTTTGTGTTAAGAACGATTAAAATTAACTACAAGAACTTAACTACTATTCAAGAAATAAAAAAACATTTTGTTATTAAATATATTTTTAAACAAAAAAATCAACAACTGGGTTGTTTTGTCTTTGAATTAAAACAAATTATCAAAAATACAAAAACAACAAGGCGAACAATTTTTTGAATATTTTAATATTTTTCAAAAAGATGAATGTTTAACAATAATAACTCAATTTACTCGTAATCGGACAACAAATTCATGAAGTTATTACTCCTATCTTGTTCTTCGACATTTTCAATTTGCGAGCCTTCAGATGGATTGCTGGTCGTTTGTTTTTCTTTTTCGTTTTCTGCGGCTTTAGCTCAGGGGGCAGGTCTTCATGAAATTGATGGAATATTTCACGGATGAAATCTAGTAAAAGATGAAAACATTTGTAAATTCTCTAGGAGAGGGCTCTAAGTTTAAATTATTATATTTTTCGAGAATTTTTCTGACTGAAAAATGCAAACTCCTTATCGAAAGTTTTTTAAAAGAAAGCTGTTTTATTGTCTGAAACCCATCCCTCCATTTTACAGTTTGACATTGTGTGCAAAACACATATGCTTGTTTAAATATTTTGAAATTAATACAATATCTGGCTTCAGCCGACTTTCTTTAAGTTCTTTTTTATGGCTGAAGTTGAAAAACTTCTTTGTAGGTCATAAGTTGATAAAAGTACAACTTAGAAGAAAGTCGTTGTCTTTCATCGCCTGTAAATTCCCCACATTGCTATCTGCATGTATGTTCATACTCCTGAACAATTTTCTTTATTTCATTCATCCTTCTGCTTTCATTTTATTATTGTCCAGAAAGACTGTTTTTCTTTATTACATTTATTTTCCATTCGTTAATATTGATTTTAATTTTTCCGGTTTTGTTTAGGAGCTACTAAAATAGAAAATTTACGTTGCGTAATCTTACAAAAAAACTTTTATTTCTCAACATAATCTTCTTTTTTATTCGAATGAATCTAAAAGTGCCATTTTTCGATTAGAAGCGATAATCGAAAAGAAGCACTTTCCTTTACTGTTCATTTGTTTTAATTTTACGTACGGACTTTTACGCACATTTGCACACAAATACAATTTGTAAATTATAACTTTGTTACAAGTTCTGTCTCAACGTCGTTCTAATGGTCTATTTTCCTGCGCTCGCCGATGTTGACACAAGCAAAACACGATTTTTTTAAAGAGTCCAAATTTTATGCAAAATATGCATCTTATTCAAACACCATATGTGAAAGCAGCACTTGCATTTTCAATACTCATTGTTTCATTTGTATATGCATACAAAAGTACGCTTTTGAAAAATTACAAACGTCAAAACATGACAATTTCAAAAATGGCATTGACATCAAACTTTAAATATGAAGTTGGCGGCTTTTATTTTTGGCTATTTTTATTTATTATAACTTATTATTCGTGTTATGTCCTTTATTCGAATAAAAAATATTGTTCGATACGAGGGCGAAAAGCCTATTTTTTTTCGAACTTCTGTCGGATGGTCAAACGCCATCGTCGTTCGAAAAACGACACTTTTCACCCTTGTATCGAAAAATACTATTAGCTCGATACCCTTAGTCCAGCGCCTTTCCAATTTTTTTATCCCTTGCAAATAATATAATTGCTCGAGGTCCTCAAAACATGCGTTTGTTTCAATGATGCCCTCTTCATTGGACCCGAATCTCATACCGCCCAGCCATTTCTTCAAGTTTGGAAACAGGAAATAGTCTCATTGGAATAAATTGGAGAAGATGGAGAATATTGGAGAATATGCTGGGTGGCAGCAGCTCGCAGCCAAATTTATGGATTTTTGCCATCGTTTTTTTTTCGTCAAATGCAGCCCTTTCAGCTTCAAGTCAACATCGAATCTGTCCAAAATGACATCTGACATTTCGTTGGGACATTCTAAGCTTGTTCACTATTTGCCCTGTAAAAGTTCATGTTTGAGCGCCGTATGTGGTTACTCGCAATACGCATTGGTCGTAAAGTTTGCGATCAAAACTTTACAGGATAATTTTTTTGTTGATGATTATATTTTTTAGTTTTGCGAAAGTCGCCCATTTTAATCAAATTCTCCTTTCAATATCTTTGCTTCCATTCCCAAGAGTTATTCGCTGACCTAAGTATGTTATAATCCTCTACATTCTCTATTATGTTGTTGGCTATTATAATATTGGGATTCACGGGACACATAGTTTTGGTTTTATTTATAATTATTTTTTTCAAGTGTTCAGTGTCGTTGCCGAACAGACCTATATCGTCTGCGTATCTAAAATGTGTTCATCTCTCGCCGTCAATGTTGACTCCCTCTGACGCACGACAGGTTTTCCTGAAGGGAAGCCAAAAACCCGTTTCGCTTCGACCTTTAATCTTAATAATGTCAGCCGTGGCGTAAACCGCTGGCAGTCTCCATCAGTAGATAGCCTAGGCCACGCCCCCCTTCTCTCGTTGGTGCAAAACCAGCCAGCACCATCCAGAGTAGGAAGGGAACACGAATCTGACCAGTCACCGGTTGAGTGCTGTTTCTTTAATTGTCGCTGTTAGGTATGTTGCCACTTAATTTATATTTGTTGGGTTTATATTTTCGCTTAATTTAGCTCTCAATTCGTTTTGGTATTTGATATTGTTTTATCTCACAGTGCTGCTATCTATTGAGGCTGTGTTGTGTTTAATAAATCTTTTCGGCTTTTCTATGGGTAATTTAGCTCTGACTATCCGGTGGTCGCTTCCTGCACTGAAAGAGTTTAGAATTGAGAAGTCGATAACAATTGTCTTGGAACATGATAAAGTGTAATCGCTTTCGTTGCGTGTTCTGGGGTCAGGGCTCGCCATCTGCATTTCCTTTGTGGTTCTTTAAGCAACAAGGTGTTCATTGTATAAAGTGTCTAGTTTTAGAGAAAGTTGCACAATATATGTCCTCGTCGGTTTCTTTCTCCTAGTCCTTGATTGCCGATGTAGAGATCGTCACCGGAAAGCTTTTTCCGAACAATAGCGTTAAAATTGTCAATAACCAGGTCATATTACATTTGCCTTTGTCCTAGTACTTTCCCGTCCTGCCCTCATGTAGAATCCCTACTTCTTCGCTTTCGTTAGTTGATGTTGGTGCATACATCTGAATTATTTTGATTCAGTATTCCTTTGACAAATCGAAGGTTACATATCTCTGTCCGAGATTCGGTTGTAACTTTGAATGTATTTGATCATTCTTGACTGTATTAGGTTTGTATTAGACTGTATAGCTTCTGGTTTCACTCAGTCTAATGATGTCCATTTAATCATTTAATTTTGCCGAGTTCGTTTTCTAGATCGAAGAGTTGAGTGTCCGATAGGAGTGATCAACAGTTGTATGTTGCTATTGTGGCCTTTTTTAGAGTGCGAATTTTTGCCTCCCCCAGAATCCATAAAGTTGACCGTCTCTTGGAAGCTATGGAACTTCAAGCTATTGTGACAATAGTCTTGGAAGATAAACCAAGGCTCCCCTGGGCAGGGGCGCGTCCCCGAAGTAGATCTACCATCTATTGGGAATAAAGATGAGTATCTGCCCGCTACCAATCTCGTGTCCTCTTCACTTGGTATAAATCAGATTCCTCGTCCGGAGTTGAGTCTAAATAAGTTTACTATGATTGTCTCAAAATATCAATATTTTTTGTACTTGCCTGCCAATATTTATTTGGCCCGACCAGGAGACGTAGTGATTGAAAATAATAACATAATTAGTCAGTTAATCTCTGTGATTAAATTTTGTAATGTTCTAACGAGTGCCACTCAGGCGTTTTTAGCTCCATCCGTCTGGGGAGATTCGTTTATATTCAATTTTTTGTTCACCAAAATAAACCGTCATGCTTTGATTTTTACCTGGTCGATTTTACTACGAAATAGAAGCAAATATGGAAAACACGAGTTAACACTTAAGTTAGTTTTGCAAAATATTGCACTTAGGCGGTTTTGCTTCTAATCCCTTCGATTGGTATATGAGTTAAAAGACTCAGATTTATCAACTAATCATTTGGAAAGAAAAATATATATAAAACAATTATTTTGTAGCATAAAGTTTCAGATAAACTTTATGCTAAAAGAATTATTAATATTAGTGTTACAGGAGTGTATTTTTTCAGATTTTCTTTCCCATGTTTGTATACTTACCTAGGATGCCGCACGAATCTATCCATTTTTGAAATGTCAAATCATGAACAACAATGCAGTGCGGTCGCATTGGAACCTTCAGAAGTATATTGCCGATTATGCACATTTAAAGGACCGGACATGGTTGACATGGTCATGCACATGAGGAGATGTCATCTAGAAGAAGCATTATTTGAAGGAGCGAAAACAATATTTTCAATAACGGTTGACCAAAAATTGAGCAGACTGTTCTTCCTTGAAGATGGAATTTTTCTAATGCATTTGGAATACAATAGGCCCACTACGAGCTTGTTTGTAACTATTGATTGTTTATCAGTAGTGAGGCCACGACTATTTAGCGTCAAAATTCAAAATCCTGATGACCCATCGAATCATGTACTACTTCAATCTACCAATGGTGTTAATATTAGCTTAGTTGTGATTAGGAAGAATTACGGCCAATTGAATGATATATTTGGTTTAAATACTGTATTATCGTACGAATTAATTGTTGAAAATTTAGACTTAAGTTTAGAGGAACATGACTTGCAACTGAGATCTCTCGATCTGCGCAAAACCGAGCAAGCCTGTGAAAGAATTGTAGGAAGGCTCAATCTCATAACAAAGACAACGAATGAGAAATTCGATACACATAAACAGATTCTTGATATTCTAAAGTATATAGCCCCGATCGTTTTGAAATGCAGCAATTGTAATATAATCAATCCAGGGATAAAACACTACATTTGCTCAGAAGGGCACATCTATTGTAGGGCCTGCGTGCATCCTAAATGTGAAGCATGTAAGGAGTTCAGAGAATTCAATTCAGTTAACGATCTTCTAAAACAAGGAGTGGTTTGCGATTGGCCTGAATGCGACATTATCACAGAACTACATTACTACATTTCACATAAGGCTGCTTGTTCACATCGAACTTACTTTTGTCCTCTCAAAGGTTGCTACCAATATTTCACATCCATTCCTGAACTCGCTGTTCATTGGCATGCTGCTACTCCCGGTCTTATAGAAAACAACTCCAATATCGTTTGTTGTAAGGGCGCTCACCAGGAGTTTTTTTGGATATTTAATCATGACATATATCGTGTGTTAGTCAATATCAGCGAGAACATTCAAATAATCGTTGAAGACTTCGATGTCGTATTAACTAACAGCAAAATCTACTGTTACGGAATTAAAGACGATGTAAGGGAGGAAATTCCGTCCTCCAATATTTGTGGCTGCTTTCAGGTTTTTGTGAACAATCGGCAAGCAGAAAATCCAGATGAGTTTGTTTATGATAAAGTAAAAATTCAAATGGTGAGTGGCGTATTTGGTTGATGCGAAATATCAATTTGCTTGATGCAAAATATTCATATTTCAATAGTTAACGAATAACATGTGTGGATTTTATGTACATGACTTCTTCCACATGTTGCTTCTTCCATTGAGTTATTGAAAACCGATTATAAAGCACTGTTATTGGCTAGTTATATATTGTTTTTTCCTAATGTTTATCGTATTAATATAGTGTTCAATCATTTATTTATTAATTTCTGATTGATTATGTCGTAATTTTTATACTTACTTAGTTCTTTTATAGATTAGAATATTATTTTACACCTCTTAATACTCTAATAATTCAACATAGAAACACTGTTATTCTATTTGTTTGAAATATATTGATGCATTACTGAAACGGAAATTATCCATTTTAAACCACATTTTCCTAACAATCTGGATTATCTTAGAATTAGAAAACAGAAGAATTTGTGATGTTTGAAATTGTGAATCAAACGCCTTTATCGCAAAAAATGTGTGTATCTTTACCGCATTTTCAACGTGAATTATTTGAAAACAACGCTCAAAGAAGTAAAAAGCATTATTAGAGAGTACATTCGTACAGAAATGTTACATAATGAATACCGTTATTACTGCAAAGTCGCCTTAATACAGCTACATTCATGATGAATAATTGTAGTATGAAAAAGTTTTTCTTCTACGTTTTTTTAAATCATGCTGTGTGGGTCATTCTAACTTTAAAATATTTTTCACAAAGCCTAATTGCTCCACCTATTAAACAAAACCTTTGCAAACTGAAATTCAAAATGGGACAATAATGGATATGAAGAAGGCATCGCATTAGTTCAATGCAAGAATTCAGGCGAAACATCTATGAGGCTGTCGGTTGTTGGGCATACAACGGCATAAAATCCCGTAAAACTAACCAGTTTCCAATTTTTTTAATCAATTAATCTTTTGTCAATTGCCCTTCCAAGGACCACTTTCCAATGTCCCTATATAAAAGTAGAACCAATGATTACACTTAAGCAAAAAAATGCTTTTTTTGAATTAGAAATAAACGTTTGAACAAAAGAGAGTGGTTCTTTCTTGTGGCCATTCAAAGGTATACCTGGACAGAGAAGATTACAAGAAGACATCATTCAAATCGATGATTTTTTTTACTTTTTATTTTTTCCTTTAAACCCAACTTTCAAAACTTCCGAAATTGTTTGGCCATCTGTTTACAACCAGAAAATGATTTGTAGGGAAATCACAAGCTTCCAATTTAACAATGAACTTTAATAAATCGATTTTATTGAAACGTACTTCGATAGGTAAAATCTAAAAAAAAAATTCGTTTTCCTGCTTGCTGATAAACTGAAAATAAGTGGAATTACAAACATTTTATTTGTATGCTTTTCTTCTTAACATATTTCACGTTGGATCTTGTGAATAAATTAATACTGATCATATTATAGCATTTCTGTGGTGAGTGTATAAGTGGTGTCGAATACTAGATATTAGCGATGGCTGAGTCTAAGGTTAGTTCCAATTGCGTGTAATTTTTAAAAAATGTTGTGATTGATGATGAATGAAATGATGAAGTAATATTGGTCTCGTGTTGTCCTTTTGCCATTTAATAATGAAAAAATTTCTTCCTAATCTGTCTACTCCCTTACACTACTCATTCAAGATAAAAATTAAAAATGAGTTCTATTTTCTAAAAAAAAATCAATAAATTTTATTTAAAAATAAGCTTTTGCACAAAAAAAAGCTCGAAATGAACGAAAGCTTCTCCTATATGCCTACAGTCAAAAATGCGTATTATTGAGTTCAGTACATTTATTAAATTTAGCTTTTAGTTTAGGGATTGATGTACCATTATTAACCACGTATTCTACGTCCGAAAATAACCCTAGTTTCCTGTATAAATGATAGCCCAAAAATGCTTCGTTACGGCTTTACAGGGTGTTGAAATTTAGTTAAAAAAATACAAAATAATTAATTCCTCAAAATTGCATGGAGATATTTTAACGAAATTTTCCAGAGATTGATGGCTAGAAAAACACATATTTTGCAATAAAATAATTTTGTTAATTTTGGCCAGTGACGTGCGTACCTGCACACTTTCGAACTTCCTTACACAAAACAGCAAAGTTTTCTTGTGAAAAACTGAACACTAAATTTCCGTTCCAATACTAAAAGCAAAGCCCACTGTCTAGGTTTCTACCATTCCCATAATTTATCATCAATTGTCTTGACCCGTTGCTAGCATACATAATTTATAAAAAATATGTAAAAATAATATAAATAATAGAAAGTGTAATATTTTTTTAATTTAAAATATTCAACGGGGATACCTGTTTGACCACCTGCTGAGATAATATGAGTTTGGTAGCAGTACGTAGATATGTATAGTCTGTACACTATAACTTTGGTCGCACGTCATTAGTGACGAAATTTGACTACCAACATAAAAACGATGATGCATGAAATTTGTGTGATAAGCCGAATCTTTTTTGTTGTGTTTTGGGCATTGGAGAACCTGAAGCAATTATAAAATAACAAAAAACTTTTGAATACTACCTAATTTAAAGCGATTGATTATTTATGTTCATCTTTAAAATTATTAGGTTGGTGAAGATTACAATGCTGCCGAATCGATCGTAAATTTATCTGAAATTTTATATTAGCACATTGTCGCGCGCTGGCTTGTTCCATTTCCTGATGAGATATATAATTATTGTCTGGGGTGGCCTGTATGATAATTCTCTTAAACAGTTGAAAGTGGTTCAGAATTATATCCTTAAAGTTATATTTAGAAAGACTAAACGGTATTCTACAGCTCTTTTGCATTCTGAGGATATTCCAAATGTTAGAACTTTGTAAATTTACTGTGTGCCTATATTTCTATACAAAGCCATCCTCTATTGAAACAGTTAATCACCCCTATAACACCAGATGCAGCGTCAATAAGCATCTTATTATACCAAATAAAAACTCCAATCTTAACTTAAATTTTTTTAATTATCTAGCTGCTAAGTTCTATAATGGGTTACCTATTAATGTTTAATTTAAATTGTTTTCTGGTACATTTGTAATTGTATTATTCAATTCAGCTTTAGAATTAAGTACCTACTTATATGATGTTATTAGCTGCACATACAGATATGCATGTCTAGGTGCAGCAAAAACGTACTATTTAAGGTCATTATTGTACAGTATATGTAATGTACATCTATTCCTGTAACTAATCCCGTGATATATTCAATTTGTCATGTACTTGTCCATGACTTTTGCGTTGGCGGTATATTTGTGTTTTTCAAATAAACAATTATTCCATAAAGAATCATCAGCAAGAGCGAGACAGTATTGAGATAATTTAATAGTGCTTCGAGACATTATGGCGAGTATGGCAACAACGTTCAACTGACGATTGATGACGTGCGGCCAAAGTTATAGCGTACAGTCGTATAATAGTGGTTTATGAATATTTCGAATTCTGTTAACTTTAGTCCATATGTAGCGTAATATTTTTTACATTTGGAATTAAACGTTGAATCGGATTACCTAGTAAAAAATATACCAATCCATTTGAAAAATTGAAATTGTTCCTAGCCTGACGATAACAGCGAAACCTATAAAAAACTTGATATCACCTTCGGGTTTCCCCCTAGCAATTACACAGCATTTGTATAACTCATTTTTGACTGTGCTTTTAAAATGAGCCATCCTGTGTATTAATTCGTATACATTCTTAGATGCAGACTATCAAGAGAAATATACCTTTCAAAATTTGGCACCGTCAAAACTGCTCGAGCTGCTGTCAAGTCCTTTCGGTTGGATATGTCATGATTTCCTCTGAAGTGGAGCACGTATGCGGAAGATGCATCACGCTACTGGAATATCGAAACTACGAGTTTGCTAAAAGTCTATATAACATTGTTGCTTCTGAGTAAGTTATTATGTATTATACAGGCTGAGTTCTTTTCGATGACTAATACGGGGATCTTGGAACAACTCGAAACTCATTTTTTGCTTCAAAATTTGACAGGTGTCAAGAGATATTTGAAGAAAACTAATTTATGCGCCAAACTTTTAAACTCTCAGTTCGGTCAGTTTTAATCTGACATGAGAACTTTAAATCAAAAAGTTTTAAGAAATTGCATTCCAAATAAACCGACACAAGACATTTTTACAAATTAACTCTCATTTTTGACATATGACATAAACTTGTGTTTTTTAATGAAAGCCATATTTGATTATGCCTTTATTAAATAGAGCATTTTATTAAAAATTCAGTAATACATCATGCGAATGATTTGTACTTTTTTAATGTAGTTGATCGAAGTTAACGATGGAAAATAGTATCAGACATTGTTTCCATAGTAACAAATAATAACAATATGATTCATTATTTATTTTGACACCTCTCAAAATTGGTAAAACTTTATTTTAATTAAGACGGTAACTCATATAAAGTGTTTATTATAAAAATCAAAACATTCTAATAATAATTCAAATTGAATGCTGGAAACTATAACTTTAATTGCAAAATATTTGCAAAATGTCCACCAGTATTACCAATGCAAACATTGTAGCGCTTTAAAACTGAATAAGTTATAAACTGTGTTTTTTACGGTTCCCCACAAAAAAATCCAAAACTGAAAGTAATCTAGTAATCGAAGAAATGTAGAAATCTAGTAATCGAGGTGGCCATAAAATATTATCGTTATAATGGTCTTATCTTCATTTCTTGACTCTGTAAAACATCCATAAGTACTCAAATTGTCGTACAATATTTTAAATGTTTTGAAGGACGGCTGACGACGGTCAAAATACCTCTCAAAATAGTAATCAAAGGCTTTTTTATAACATCTAATTGCTTGTCTAATTGTAAGTTTCAATCATGTCGCGCTTTTCTTCATTAGAATAATCCATTTACAAACTGCTTGTTGGGTAATTCGCCTCAAACGTTTTTGTCTTTAAAGAATTTCCTCACGTCGTTTATTACAGATTGATAAATAGTGCTCCTATTTCGCAATAAGAACGAATCATTTATCAAAGAGTAATCAACAACTATCATGTGGTTATTGTTTGTTACTATGGAAACACTGCTGTCTACCTTATACTGATTTCCATGGTTAACTTCGATCAACTAAATTGAGAAGGTAAAATCATTCGCAGACACTTCCTTTTAGAAAAACCTAACGTTATCACTGAAAGTGTAATAAAATGCTCTATTCAATAAAGGCATAAGCAAATATGGTTGCGATTAAAAAAACTCAAGTTTGTGTCATATGTCAACAATGACAGTTAATTTGAAGAAATGTCTCATGACATTTTTTATGGAATGCAATTTTCCACAACTTTTCTATTTAATGGTTTTTTGTCAGATTAATATTGACGGCACTAAAAGTCATGGAAAAAATCTGCCATAAATCAACTTTTTTCACATATCTCCTGTCAGTTGTCAAATTTTAGGAAAATAAAATTAGGTCAGAGTAGAGCATTCAAAACAGCAATTCTTTGTCCATTTAACCTTCGTGGTTTCTGCCGTAGTTTCCAAGATCCCTGAATCATCGAACAAAACTCACCCCATAGTATTTAAACTATCACATTTATACAAAAAATGCGTGTGGCACAAAAAATATATCTACTAGGTGGTCCCCCAAACGCAAAGAGTTAAAACAAACGAGTTTTGAATAGGTTTGTTAGGTACTACACTCATTGTCAATATAAACTAGTCACCTAAAATTTATTAAACTTCAAAGTTCGAAATATTCCGTTAGTGTTAAACGATTTTAATGAGTAAGTCGGTCATTTATGGCCAAAACTTGAAAGATAATCAGGTCTCATTTCATAACTTTTCAACAGTTTGTTAAGATCGTCGATTTCGCGGCAGGATTAAATTGTCAATAAAGAAAGAAGTAAGTTTTGCACTCGAACAGAACACTAACACATGTGTTCTCATTAAATAATTTAATGTTTGCACTTGTTGGAGTTTTTTTAACATATAAATTGTGAAAACCCTTCGGAAGAATGGGAGCTGAACCCAGCGGAAAACCCATCGGAAGTAGTTCTTCGCTCGAGCAACGAGGACGTAGACCAGTCCTATAAGCAAATATCAGATATCATCAAAGCATTGCCACAGCGTGATATAAATATTATTATGGGTAGTTTCAACGCCAAGCTTGGAAAAGGAAGAACTGGAGAACACATTTGGACTGGACTAGAGACATGATCTGACTGCAACCAATTTTTCAACTTCAACTTTCAACTCAAGCTTTCAACACCATCCTAGAAGATTTAACACGTGGAAATCGAATGATGGAAAAACTAGGAATCAAATAGACGTCGTACTCATTAATAAAAGATTTAGAAACAGCTTCAGAAAATAAAAACTTATCCAGGAGCAGATGTTCAATCGGATCATAACACGTTGCTAGGAAGAATGAGACCCATTCTGAAGAGAGTAAAGAAAAAACATGTAGGGAGATATGATTTCAGAAGACTAAAAGATACAGCCACAGGCAAGGTCGAACGGAATGAACTTTTGACAGGAAAAACAAGGAGATGTAGATAAAGACCTTAAAATGCTTCAGGGAAGTATAAATAAAGTCAACGAAAAGTACTTAAAGTCTCTCAAACAGATGCAGAAATCTTGAATGACAGACGTGATCCTGGAATTGATGGAAAAGGCGTTTGACCAATTGTGACACACAAAAATGATTGAAGTTCTGCAAAAGCTGGCCTGGATGGGAAAGACCTCAAAATCATCCGAAATCTCTACTGAAATCAGAGGGCTTGTGTCCGGGTTAACAGAGAGACAACGGAAGAGATACAAATATTGCGTGGTGTGCGACGTATATGCATACTATCTCTTGTAATTTTCAATCTGTAATCGGAAGGCACCGGAGGATACTGAAGCTGGAATCCTACTAAATGGAGAACGATTTAATAACATAAGGTATGCGGATGAAACCGTTATTTTTGCGGACAACCTAGCTTCCTTGCCTAATGGACAGTGTAACATTATACAGTCGACAATATGGTTTGGAAATAAACATCAACAAAACAAAGTTCATGATAATCAGAAAAAACTAGGCCTGGGTATCACTGTGTTGAGTTGCGCTATTGAGCTGTTGCCGCTCTCTGAGTTAACGAGTTATAATTCATCGGTTAATGAGTCATTTATGAAAGCTTTCCGAGACCCGAGACTGGAATTTTCACATTTAAAAAACAGGTCAACAACATTTTTTCTGAGTAACCTTTTACTACTTTGTTCAAAAAACAAAAAAAAGTAATCTAAAGTAACCGAACTGAGTCCAAACAAAGTCGACGACTTTTCTTGTAAAGTCGATCTCTTAATTTTTTCGCATAAAATATTCAATTTGCCAAAATTTTACAGTAAAACGTTAGGAAAAACGCAATTTTTCCATTTAAAGACAGTGTTGTTTAGAAATATTGACCTAAAATTGAAGAAACCCTAGTTTCCAAGAGTTCCAAATAAATGATGATACATTTTCGCTTTTTCTGTTTGGGAGAATATTTTTGGAAAAAGATCCAGAAATAATTATTAGGGGATTGTCCATAATTCTGCAAAAAGTTTTCCAAACATTTTTGCAAAGCGGTTAAGGAGGGTTCCAATAAAATGTATATTACAATTTTTTCACAGAAAATATGTGAATATTGTCAGTATTTTAAGTAAAACTAAAAATTAATGTAATTTTTGCGTGGAAAGAATTGCTTAATAGAAACTTTGTTAAGACTGGAATGACCTGAAAATTTAAAGGAACTTTAAAAATCTTCAGAGCGATGAAGGTGGCAATTTTCTAAATAATTTTTTCCTATTACTTTCGGTAAAAAAACTGAATAATTATTATTTGGTTCTTGTGCCAAGTTCGAAGCTGAAATGGGTTTTCTAAAGCTTCCTGCAAACCAATGAATGAGGCGAATTTTCTGTTAATTTTGTGATTTTTTGCGGAAAAGACCCCATTATTGCCAGAAAAGAAGAAAATCATCAAAGAATAATAGTTGTGTGCGTTTTTTAAAAAAAAATTACAAAGCTATAAATGTATCTAGTAATTTTTCGCATAAAAGACCTCCAGATCGTCAGTATTTTTAAGTGAAACTACAAAATAGAGCGTTTTTAAGTAGAAAGTAAAGCAAAAAAATCAGTCTAAACTAAAAAAACACATTTTTTTAACAAACTCTACAGTCTTCAGAAGTATGGAGGTGACGAGATTTCCAAATAATCTGTTATAAACTTTCGCTTATTGTGTGCGTTTTTTGATAGCAAATGATTAGAATTTTGTTATAAATTCGAAGCGGGAAAGGGATTTCAAAACTTTTTACAAAGCGACGAAGGATTCGAAATTTATTTCATAATTTTTCTCGGAAAATACCTTATGATTGTCCGCATTTTTAAGTGAAACGTTAAAAAATTGAGCATTTAGATGAATTAGTAACTTGCGAGTTGCCCAGGCCTAGTAAAAACCAAAACACCCACGGTACTTTATTGGTAGACGGAACTCCTTTAGAAAAAGTCAACAATAGCACATAGTCGGGCACAAATGTAAATTATAACTGGAACCATTCTGTGGAAATCAGAATAAGTATTGAAAAATCCAGAACAACATTTATCAGGATTAAAAAGGTCTTTACCAGCCCCGACTTAGAGGTGGCAACGAAAACTTGCCTAGTGCGATGCTACGTGTTTTCGGCCCTTTTTATGGGGTCAAATCGTGGACGCTTACGGAGGCCTCCTCCAAAGAACTCGAGGCATTTGAATGTGGCTGTACCGAAGAATCCAACGAATACCCGGAACAGAGGGAATAACCAATACGGAGGTGCTGCGAAGGATGGGAAAGGAGAAATAAGTCCTGAATACAGTTAAGACTCGAAAGTTAATATCGAACTTATTAAGTTAACTCGAAAAACAATACCTGGGACAATGCGCAATGAGAGCAGATGTCTTTTTGCAGAAGATCCCCCAAGGCAAGGTATATGGAGCTAGAGGAGTGGGCAGAAGGAGAAGATCGTGGTTGAGAAATTTAAGAACGTGGTTCAACCAATCAACCACTCAGATATTCCGCGCCGCTGTTAACAAAGTTCGAATTAGCAACATGATAGCCAACATTCGGATCTGATAGGCACTCTATAGAAAAAGTATCGGAAGAATATATTTCAGTGGGAATTTGATGCATCAGAAGTTGGTAACAAAAGTAAATAAATAGTGAATGTAAGAAATTTCTAAAAATAAATTTGAAACTCAAAGATACATTTGCCAAAGAATAGCCTATAATTTACATAAAAAATACACAATCGATTAATTAGCATATAAGGAAAAGGCTTTGAACTTTACCAAAAAATCAGCTGCACTTTTTTATGGAACTAAGTGTAGCATAATAATAAACTCTTTTATCATCATTAAAATTTTATTATCCTATATTTTAAGTCGCAACAATCACAAACTGCATTTTTTAAATTAACATTACAAGTGTGCATATTTTTTTCAGATATTCATTCTCATGTATGAATTGTTACTTCGGATGCGATCAGTCCTTTTCCATTTTTAACATGTTACCTCATGAATCGTCTTGCCCAAGGATCAGTGAGGAACCATTCGAACAGCGTTGCGAATTATGCGAATTTAAAGGAGACCAAACTTATGATATGGTCACGCACGCACGGAAATATCATTTGAAAGAAGGACTATTTGAAGGAGCCAAAATATTATTTTCAACAGTAGTTGACGTATATATGAAAAAACTGTTTTTCCTTGAAGATGGGATTTTTGTAATGCAGTGGGATTACGATAGCCCCACTATGAATTTAAGGATCAACATTGATTGTATATCAGTCGTGAAGCCACGACGATTTACCGTCCGAATTGAAAGGCCTGACGACCCAACGAATCATATAGTACTTCAAGCTGATAGTATCGATGTTGTTGGCGTTGAATTTAATGAGAATTGCAATGAATTCAATGAGGAATTTGGTTTCGGTACTGTGCTATCATACGAATTAATTGTTGAAAATCTACCTTATGATGAAATAGATCAGTTAACAATAATTAGATTTATCGAAGTATATGAAAAGGAAGAGGTCACGGTAAATACGTATAATATTGGCAAGGCCAAAATGAAGGCACTGGACGACAGAAACAAAAAATATAATATGATTCTTGATATTCTAAAGTATCTAGCCCCAAACCTATTAAAATGCAGCAATTGCTACATAATCAATCCAGGGATGAAACTCTTCGTTTGCTCAGAAGGGCATATTTGTTGTAGAGTATGCATCCATCCGAAATGTGAAGCATGTAAAGGGCCCAGAGAATTTAATGTACTCGACGAACTTAAAAATTTATTAGTGCGTTGCGATTGGCCTGGATGCAAATTTGATACAAAGCTACATTCCCTCATGTCACATAAAGCAACTTGTTCCCGCCGACCTTACCTTTGTCCACTGAAAGGTTGCTATAAATCTTTCACATCCATTAAGGAACTTAGTGATCATTGGCATGCTTGTACTCCCAGTCTTATAGAAAGTGATTGCAGTATCACTTTTAATAAAGGCACTCACCAGGAGGTTTTCTGGGTATTTAACCATGACATATATCGGGTGTTAGTCAAAATCAACGAGGAGATTGAAGTAATTATTGAAGACTTCGATGTCGTATTGGTAAACAACAGAATATACTGTTACGGAATTAGAAATAATGTAAAAGAGGAAATTACGTCTCGCGTATTTTGTGACTACTTTCGGGTTTCTATCGATAATCGCCGAAAAAAAAATCCAGCCTACTTGGCTTATGAGCAAATACAAATTGAAATTATAAAAAAGAACATGTAGATAAGTTCAAAAACAACTATTAGTCGAATAGGGGTAGTTCAAAATAATACTTTGTTCGGTATGTATCATATTTCAGTAGTGAACGAATGCATATCTACATTTTATTTGCATGAGATCTTCCTCGCGTTGCTTCTTCCATTCATTCCGTTATTTAAAACCGAATATAAAGCACTGTTTTGGCTAGTTAGATATTTTTTCTCTAAATGTTTATTGTTAAATGTTTATTTTTCTTGGATATTGTTATAGTCGTTAATCATTTATTCATTAAGTTATTATTAATTATTTCATTATGTTTATACTATACTTAGCTTTACTGCAGATTACGATTTTATTTTACAAATTTTTATAGGTACACTAATAATTCAACATAGAAATATACTATAATTCTATTTGTTTGAAATATATTTATGAATTACTGAAATGGCAACGTTCTATTCTAAACTACATTGTCCGAACATTCTGGTTCACTTTAGAATAAGATGGTGTTTGAAATTGTGAATCAAGAGTGAATCGCTGAAATCGTCAAAAATGTGTCGCATTTCCAACGTGATTTTTTTTGGAAACAACGAATTAAAGAAAAGTATTCGAGAATTAATTTGGGTGGAAATATTAGGTACATGAAAAACGGACCGCGCTGAAATGTCGCAAGTTTAAATAAAGCATTATTGTACAGCATAAGAAAAACTTATTCACCACGGGCATGTTAAAAAATGCGTTTGAAACATTTCCAGCAACAAACCGAGTCAGGAAATGAATCACTTAGTGAGGAAGATAATCCACAATGCGTCAGAAGAATACCAATTGCAGAAATATTTTCTAACATCCTCAGCAATGAACTTTGGCTTAACATACGGCAATTTCAATATGCAAATGCACTCAATAAAACATTTCGCCCCAAATGGTCTGAAAATCAGTAAGCTGGAAAAGAGTGGATGAGACGCTTCATGAAAAGGAATTCAAAACTATCCTATAGAAAGCCTGAAAATGTTTTAAGTAAAGTGGGAGATTTAGCTATAACACAACATAAACAATTTCTCAATGCAAAATATATAAGACTTTCCTGTATCCAACACTTAAAACTGTATCCAACAGAGACTGTATCGAACACTTCAAACAAACAAAAAAAATTAATTTCGTAAGCAAGATCGGGCAAAGGGGGTCGGGAAAAATGAAAGTGAGCTAGAAACACAAAGAACGGAGGAAAAGAAACTAAAAACAAAAAGTGTGAAACGAAACATCTAGGACATCAACGGTTCTAGTAAGGGGAAATCGGAATAGAAAAACATAAAATAGCACGCCAGCTCATCTTCATTAATTAAATATCAATTTCCCAGTATGGAAGAGGAAACGTCCAAGATATTATCATCAAGCGGATTCAGATGCTGTCTGTCTTATGAAGTGAAAACCCTTTCATCGGATTCAGATATAGATATGATCGAAGACTACGAAATAGACGGATTAGTTGACTGCACAAAAATTGATTTAAGAGACTTTATTTCGGTCAAATTTGCTTCCAAAAGAACCTTATATTGTCATCAAGCGATTCAGATGCATCTTATGAAGTGATGGAGATTATTATTATCGAGACACGTGGGGTGCGTTCAAGATATCCGTGATTTTCTACCCAATTTAAGATAATATTATTTCGATCCATAAAAGAGACATAGTGACTAGACTACCAAAACCAAAAATAGTATTGAGTACTACTATTACCTACTAGTAGATTGGCTTCCTATATGAATTTCTTTATGTTTCCTTGATGAGTTATAATGTCCTTTAAATTTTTGTTAAAATTGTCAAATTTTTCTTGCTCCATTCTGAAATATTTTTCATGGTTAATGTAGCTGTAAGATTCGATTCTTTGCTTGTTTAATAAATGAAATACATTTGGCCATTAGTTTCAATGTAGGAACTTCAAGATTGTGGATAGTTTGAGGCTAGTTGTCCCAAAGCGCCCCACCATCGTACCAAAAATACGATTTTCACATTTTAAATAACACCTAATAAAATTATTAATTTTTTTTTATATTTTTTAAATGGTGAAATTGAATCTTGTTTTGCAAAAATATTCTGATATACCTGTTAAGAATGTTATTAGAGTATCAAATTATCCAAAACTTCAAAGGCGTTTTTCTCATTGGTTGAATTTTGGGTTTAGGCCACTTTGCATATCATAGCTTCATTTAATCTAATTTTAGAGTTTGTGAGCACTGCCCACATTGGCAGCATCAAGTATTCTCACATCTAGTTTCATTACGATGTTTCAATTCTCTTATATAAAATATAAAAGTAGACATTGATTAAGCTGAAGCAAACAAGTGCTTAATTAGCTGTTCCTTCTGCGGATCAGTCAACCGCAGAAGGAGCATGATTCGAAATATTCTCACGAAACAAGTAAGTAGTCCCTTCTAAATAAGACTTTTTGTAATAATTCATATGCTAAACAGCACTGGTCGATCCAAGCCAATCTCTATAATATGGCTTACAGAGTCAGGGTCCGAAACAAATTAGATTAAAAGCCAATCTTTAACCTATTATTTTTGTCGGTGAAGCGCATAAAAAGCTGGTAATCGAGACAATGCCACCCCGAAACGTTTCACAATGAAGTGGCGAGTAGCGCATAAATGGGAGCTGATGGTATCGGACGAGTCACCCTGTTGTGTCTTTTTCCCACGGTGTCACCCTTGATGTGACGCTAAATCCGGATTACGCAAAGCTTTCAGAAAAAGCTGAGTTCCAGATTAATGACGATGGATCGATGGAAGACAAATTATACAGTGCGAGCCTAAGTTGGAATGAATTTGCTAAATCAGAGGCAGAATTTGTTGAAAAATATGCTGAAACACGTCAATTAATGATTTAAATTGCGCTTTTTTAATGGCAGAAGATTTTATAAATTGTGATTCAAAATTGGCGTCATTCCTTTTAAGTGGTGATAGAAGCTCACTTGGGGAGTACGAAAAAAATATTGAAATTTTTTTTTTTGAAAATTGCTAGAAGATATTAACAGTTGAAGATAAAATTTCAACTTTGTTATTAAGCATTATTCAGAAATTGTTCCATGTTTAATTGGTAGCATATTGGAATACTTAAGCATTCAAAAAGAAAAATTACGATCTTTGCTTCAAATTACGAAAATTTTTG